ATATCGCTATTTGTTTCTTCTCTCTGAAAACATTTTACGACCCCGGTCATAGCTCACAAGTCATTTCTTACCGGTTCCTTGTCTGTGGTTGTTCAGGACCAGGATTTGCTTTCAATAGGCGGCGTTAAAAAAAAAGCCTTAAAGTTCTTTACCCCGCAAACACTTCCAACCATTTCTAAACCCGTCACAAACCCTTTAGTTTCAGGTGCCTTAATGTAATGAGTAACGCATTATTTGTGTAATCGATGGTCATCTTTTTATGTTGGTTTGTTTTCTTTATTAAGGAAAAGTAATTCTTTAAAAAAATTGTGTGGTGTACTGTGGCGTGTTTTATTCGCCTGAGTCAAACGCTCTCACTCCACTATCATGAGATCTCTGGAATAAAACACTGAAGGAGGATTAAAAAGTAAAAAAMAAAAAAAAAAAAGAAAGTCCACCGTGACTCTTGAGTGTCATGAGTGTGGACGTCAGTAGGTCAAATGTGGACATCAGCCATTTGGCCTCATGTTTGGTTGAAAGGCTTAAATGAAGGGAACAATATTTGCTGATGGTGAATTTCATTTTGCGACAATGCAAATGTGTGTTGTTTTTTTTGTTTTTTTTAAGTTACCAACTCAGATCTAAATTACAAAGTTTTACCCCTTTTCACATCACGTCTTTGTCTCAAAACGCCATGTTTTTTCTGTAAATGGGACACGGCAAAATAAAGAATTAAAGATGCATCACTACTGGTGTTAAAAAGCTGAATAATGCATATTGTATACATTTTATTCTTCAAGGGACGTAAGTTAATTTTGTACAAAGCGAGAAAACACAAGTTTCCATTCTTTTAGTGGATGTTTAATTGTTCTAAATAATCATCCCAGTTATTTATTAAAGCAGTTTTGACACATCTTGATGGAGCTTGTAATACTTGGTTTGATAAAGGTTCATGTGTCTGTGCCGGAGCTTTCCAACACCCCACGCAGCCTTCACACAGGAGTTTCGTCGACGTATACAAATCCACAAGTCGTCCAACCTAAATGATCCTAGAAGTTTATCGTCTCTACCTTATTGGTTGTGGCCTATTTATTGCCATGGTAATGATAAGCACCTGGTTATGGTTGTGGAATCGGCCCTGGTTTGGTCAAGTTTAGGCACAAAATCTACAAGGTAAGAGAATGTTCATTGTCATGGTTTGAATAAAAAATAAATAAAATGCTGCAGACCAACTGACTTGCTTTGCTCTCCTATAATTACTATTGTTAAAACTTTGTATATTACAGTAGATCAGTTCCTAAAAACAGTACATTTCATGAACCCTATCTATTGGGTGGTAGAGAGAGTTGTCCTCAAACCTGAGGGTGGGCAGTTCAATCAGAGTCACATGCCACAGTGTCATTAGGAAAGATACTGAACCCTAAACTGTGCTGCTCTTCAGAAAATAGATAATAAAAATGATACATTTAGCTCAGCTCAGTGTTGTAAACACATTAACTCTGCTCAGAAACTTTCCTGTGTTCTCTGCAAATAAGATAAAGCTTCAACCTCTAACGTCATTTGCACCAGAGGTCTGAAACCCTGCAGCACTTGCCCTCATCTGTGTGTCGATCGATCGCTCCAATCTCCTCACCAGCCTCCTCGCAGTGCTGCCATCGCTCCGGCTCCGGCCACACCAATAGAACCTCATCTCCTGTTCTGGGCCGATCCGGTCTCCACCAATGAGAGGCTGGCCTGATCGCCCTGGTCACATAAAGATGTGAATGTTTCATGAGTAATGTTATGATGCTGGGCGGAGTGGGGGGTGGGGTGGCACAACCACCACCCCCACTGACTCCCATGGGTGCCCGTGGCTGGAGCTAATGGGAACGTGTGTTGTCGGAAAGGCCGGATCGACTTACACAGTTTTGTGGAAGTGGAAAAGGAGCTGATAACGTTTATGGATGGAGTCATATATGGATGACGGTAAAATCTTGCTGTTAGTCAGCAAGAAGTAAATGAATTATGAATTTCTCAAGAAATAATACAGAGATGTCGATGTTGCTTTGAGGACTGATGTCGATGAGTGTGTGACGTTTGGTGCAACCTGATTGAATCTAAGGGGACGGTGGTCCTCGGGGGAGGCAGGTGCCAAATGCACTTCTTTCATATTGAAGTACTGCATTTTGTTTTTGCACAAATGCTTCATGTCTGAATTTCTTTATGTGTATTTGTACAATATCACAACTCTCACATAGGATGGGGGCCCCAGCACAAAGACACGGTTAGGCAGAGGTTGGCCGAAGCAAAAGTATCACCAGGTAAATTGTGGTGGAAGGACCAACGTCTGAGTCCGGTGCTCAAAAACTGAGGTTGATGAGCGAGTCGACTGCAGGATGAGGATCAGCTGTGCAGGTGAACAACAACAGGACGTTCCTTTTCTTCCTATTGTACAAAAACATGAGGTGAAATGGAAACAAGATTGACTGTAGGAACGTTTTTTTTTGGTAACCCAAAACAAAATTAGCCTCCCAAGACTTTGCAATCATTGCATCATATGTTATCTTTACATTCTGACTTGACTTTAGCTCACTTTTATTTCAATCGTCAGTCATTAACTCAACATTTCAACTTAGTATCTTTGTGTTGCTGTTGTATTACTTCCTCTGCCTCTCAAGATAAAAACACATTTGTCTCTCATCATGTCTTGGTATACGAGTGATGCCAAGTTGCCTGTTTGCCTTTTCAGCCTGTCGATACCCTGCCCCCCCCCCCCCCACGCCATCCCAGACTGCATCAGTAAACTGACACCAGATTCCAAAAGTGGCTCCTTACAAAAGCCAAGACAAGAGCCAAGGACATCTCAGTGCACTGCATTTGTAAACACAGAGTACTTGCTACTGAATGCAAAATGGCCGAATGCATTCGTCGGGGAAAGTACGGAGAAGCCACGACTGCTCTGTGTATCTGAATGTGTTAAGCAGAGCACGTGTGTTTTCCGTGCACACACACAGTCACAGTGGAGTGACTGACAGAGAGATGGTATTTGTATTTTCTGTGTGCTCTGCTCCCTGTGGCTGCTCTGTACATCTGTTGATGTGGGTCTTTGGGACCATCTGACAGCGGAGGCAGCTGGGTGACAGGATTTTAGGCTAAGCCCCTCGTCCCTTTAAACACACACACACACACACACACACACACACACACACACACACAGTCCTTACAGCATATCGAGCTGGCACGTCCTGGCGGACAGTGGGCTGCAGCTGGCACTGTGGGCAGACTGAGGCAGGGAGACAGGCCACAGTGTCCTGACTGTATCATGTGTGTGTGTGTGACTGTGTGAGAGTGTGTGTGTTTGTGCATGGCTGGCACTGCAGGTCTGTTTTGTCGCTGCAGTAACCCCCCCACACGTACCCTCTGCACCAGGAGGTGGAGGGGGGGGGGCAGTAACAGGAGGGAATGGGTTGAGGGAGAGCAACAGAGTGTCTTGCAGTGCCATTGCAGCTTTTCTGGGACAACTGGTGTGTGTGTGTGTGTGGTTTGGGTGTGTGTTTGTATATGTCGTATACACAAGTGTGACATGGATGACGCCAGAGAGGAGTCAACATGACATGATGTCAAAAATGTTGAACTATAAATGTACAAATGCACAGGACACATCATGTTGACAGGTAAAATATGAAAACAGTTCTGCAACTGGATTTTAAATAGTGTTTAAACTTGTCTCTTCTTTCTTTCATCTCATTATTTCCACAGCTTCTGTTATGCATACGTATCTGTTTATGCTTTAATGTGCACCACCTGCATTTTCCATGCAAACTGGATGGCTACTGAAGGACTATATAAATAAAATGCACTTGAAAGGTCAGAGGTCAAAGGGGGGTAAACAAACTGCGAGCCTATACATCTACTTCCATACCTCGGCCACACACACACACACACACACACACTTACCATGCAAACACATCTATCCAGGGGCAAGATGCCGTACATGTGCACTTGTTGACCGGATCTGGCCTTTAGCATTTGGAAGCGGAAAAGAAAACACAATCCTAAAGATCCAGAATATGTAACACCCTAAAACACACACATGTCCACGTGTTTAGATGAAAAGGTGGTGAGCTTGAGACTGAAGCTTTTTTTTCAGACGTCATCATGTAGTTTTCCTCTCTATGTTTGGTTCCACATATTCCATGCATGTCTGTTTGTACACGCTCAAGTGACAGTGTGCGGTGCAACCCAACACCATGTACAGTGATATGCAAGGTCAATTTGCACCTCTCGCAGCCTGAGTGACACCGGGGGAGGGTGAAATACCCCCAGGATCTCCTCGGAAACCGGTTACAGTATGTACAGTACAACGGAATTCAAATGTGCAGAGCTGGATCTGAAGTATGAAGGTAAACATGGTCTCAGTCAAAAGTTAGTGTTTGATTTGTTATAGCATTCACATACAGTCATTACTTCTAAAAGTACCACAGCACTAATAAATTCAAACGCCTCTTATGTCTTAACGTATAATATATATATATATATATTAAACTTTATTTATATCCAGAAAGTGGCCTCACTGAGATTTAAAAAAATATAAGTGTTCCATTCACGAGAGCAATACTTAAATACAGTTATAAGTACTTGTAGATAACTGGAGTATATTCATTTGATGCCACATTACAGAGGGAATACTGCCGAGACAATACACGTCTCAGTCGACCGAGTCGTCAGCTGCTGCCATTAAATAACAGCTGTTTTTCCACAGCAGCCATTTTGAGTCATGGTGAACCAGCAGGTGAACACAGATGTTACTAATCTCATTCATTAAGGCTCCGCTCTGTTCATCCCACCGACCTGAGCACGTACACCTGGGGTCACCTGGAAAAAAAAAATTCACAAATACCTTTGAAAGATTTGGGAAGTACTTTTTTTTCCTGATAATACTCTTGTACATTTACTTCAATCTGTGGTATTAAATGTACTAAAGCATGACATTTGTACTTTGTGCTCAGTGTGGAAGTAAAGTAAAGTTCGGTGAACAATCAGAATCCCTCCTCTGCCACTGGCTGCACGAGCAGTCACGTGACCTCCTCTACCTGCTGCAGCGGAAATCCAACGCACCTTTTTTTCAAAATGGCGGCCGGTTCAAACCGCTCCACCTGACCTCCTCTCTCCTTTCTCCTCTGAGCTGCTGCTCCTCCTCTAACCTTCTCCAACAGTAATGATTCTGCAGCACAAACCTGCTGCCGTCACCGTTTGATAACAAGTTGAAGTCAAAGCGCTCTGTCTGAACTTGTGGCTTCAGGTTTGTGGGGAATGATTGTGTCAGTGCCACATTTTATATTTTAATTTAATTTTTTTTTGCTTTCAACTTTTCCCAAACAATGAAACTTCCTGCAGAGGAGGAGAGCTGCTCTCCGCCAGATGTAAGTAAATGCAGCTTGTGTTAACATGTCTATTGTCAGTCACAGTGTGGGTCTGTTCAGTCATGTTTATGGTTACCTGTGTGTGTTTCTACCTGTGTGTGTGTTTCTACCTGTGTGTGTTTCTACCTGTGTGTGTGTTTCTACCTGTGTGTGTTTCTACCTGTGTGTGTGTTTCTACCTGTGTGTGTACGTGTGTTTCTACCTGTTTGTGTGTTTCTACGTGTGTGTGTTTCTACCTGTGTGTGTACTTGTGTTGCTACCTGTGTGTACTTGTGTTGCTACCTGTGTGTGTACTTGTGTT